TGGTCATCTCCTGTACTGTGTCCGCAGTCTCTGGTCATCCCTGTACTGTGTCCGCAGTCTCTGGTCATCCCTGTACTGTCCGCAGTCTCTGGTCATCCCTGTACTGTGTCCGCAGTCTCTGGTCATCCCTGTACTGTCCGCAGTCTCTGGTCATCCCTGTACTGTCCGCAGTCACTGGTCATCCCTGTACTATGTCCGCAGTCTCTGGTCATCCCTGTACTGTCCGCAGTCTCTGGTCATCTCCTGTACTTTCCGCAGTCTCTGGTCATCCCTGTACTGTCCGCAGTCACTGGTCATCCCTGTACTGTGTCCGCAGTCTCTGGTCATCCCTGTACTGTCCGCAGTCTCTGGTCATCCCTGTACTGTGTCCGCAGTCTCTGGTCATCCCTGTACTGTCCGCAGTCTCTGGTCATCCCTGTACTGTCCGCAGTCTCTGGTCATCCCTGTACTGTGTCCGCAGTCTCTGGTCATCTCCTGTACTGTCCGCAGTCTCTGGTCATCTCCTGTACTGTTCGCAGTCTCTGGTCATCCCTGTACTATGTCCGCAGTCTCTGGTCATCCCTGTACTGTCCGCAGTCTCTGGTCATCTCCTGTACTTTCCGCAGTCTCTGGTCATCCCTGTACTGTCCGCAGTCACTGGTCATCCCTGTACTGTGTCCGCAGTCTCTGGTCATCCCTGTACTGTCCGCAGTCTCTGGTCATCCCTGTACTGTGTCCGCAGTCTCTGGTCATCCCTGTACTGTCCGCAGTCTCTGGTCATCCCTGTACTGTCCGCAGTCTCTGGTCATCCCTGTACTGTGTCCGCAGTCTCTGGTCATCTCCTGTACTGTCCGCAGTCTCTGGTCATCTCCTGTACTGTTCGCAGTCTCTCTGGTCATCTCCTGTACTGTGTCCGCAGTCTCTGGTCATCTCCTGTACTGTGTCCGCAGTCTCTGGTCATCTCCTGTACTGTCCGCAGTCTCTGGTCATCCCTGTACTGTGTCCGCAGTCTCTGGTCATCCCTGTACTGTGTCCGCAGTCTCTGGTCATCTCCTGTACTGTGTCCGCAGTCTCTGGTCATCCCTGTACTGTCCGCAGTCTCTGGTCATCTCCTGTACTGTGTCCGCAGTCTCTGGTCATCCCTGTACTGTGTCCGCAGTCTCTGGTCATCCCTGTACTGTCCGCAGTCTCTGGTCATCCCTGTACTGTGTCTGCAGTCTCTGGTCATCCCTGTACTGTGTCCGCAGTCTCTGGTCATCCCTGTACTGTGTCCGCAGTCTCTGGTCATCCCTGTACTGTGTCCGCAGTCTCTGGTCATCCCTGTACTTTCCGCAGTCTCTAGTCATCCCTGTACTGTCCGCAGTCTCTGGTCATCTCCTGTACTGTTCGCAGTCTCTGGTCATCTCCTGTACTGTTCGCAGTCTCTGGTCATCTCCTGTACTGTGTCCGCAGTCTCTGGTCATCTCCTGTACTGTGTCCGCAGTCTCTGGTCATCTCCTGTACTGTGTCCGCAGTCTCTGGTCATCTCCTGTACTGTGTCCGCAGTCTCTGGTCATCTCCTGTACTGTCTGCAGTCTCTGGTCATCCCTGTACTGTCCGCAGTCTCTGGTCATCCCTGTACTGTGTCCGCAGTCTCTGGTCATCCCTGTACTGTGTCCGCAGTCTCTGGTCATTTCCTGTACTGGGTCCGCAGTCTCTGGTCATCCCTGTACTGTCCGCAGTCTCTGGTCATCTCCTGTACTGTGTTCGCAGTCTCTGGTCATCCCTGTACTGTGTCCGCAGTCTCTGGTCATCCCTGTACTGTGTCCGCAGTCTCTGGTCATCCCTGTACTGTGTCCGCAGTCTCTGGTCATCCCTGTACTGTCCGCAGTCTCTGGTCATCCCTGTACTGTCCGCAGTCTCTGGTCATCTCCTGTACTGTGTCCGCAGTCTCTGGTCATCCCTGTACTGTGTCCGCAGTCTCTGGTCATCCCTGTACTGTGTCCGCAGTCTCTGGTCATCCCTGTACTGTGTCCGCAGTCTCTGGTCATCCCTGTACTGTCCGCAGTCTCTGGTCATCCCTGTACTGTGTCCGCAGTCTCTGGTCATCCCTGTACTGTGTCCGCAGTCTCTGGTCATCCCTGTACTGTGTCCGCAGTCTCTGGTCATCCCTGTACTGTGTCCGCAGTCTCTGGTCATCCCTGTACTGTTAATTAGTTTGCACTACTGTACGAGTTGTTTTTTCTAAACCAAAAGCTCGATATTCAGGTTTCATTGCAGTGTTGGCACTTTGAAAGAAATAAGTTGGTTTTGGGTTGCAGTTTGGGCACTCGGGCTCAAAAAGGTTCGCCATCACTGGCATAGAGCATAGGACAACTGAGCATACAAGTGTGAACAGGGACAAATAGGAAGAATGGGATTCTGCATTCTGAATATCATAAGATGTAGGGAAAAAAAGCTGAAAAACGCTTGAGTCTTTGTTGTGATCTTTAAGCATTAATTATTTCAAAGTACAAGCAGCTAGAAAGATCAGGGATGTTTTAAAGGATAAGTTCACCTGCCAACAAATAATATTAGAAGCACACTTTTTTGCAGGTAAAAAATGTGCATTTATTAGTTTTGTTGCTGGAGCCTCTAATGCAGTCGTGGCGAACCTATGGCACACGTGCCGCAGCAGGCGAGCACAGCCCTCTCTGCCAACACGCTAGCGCCAAGTCGCCCCAGCAGCTGGGCATCAGATAATGGCACACATAGGGGCCAATGCGCATGCCCGGAAAGGAGTAGGGCCTCTATAGGACCGCACATAACTGCAGGGAGGGGCAATCAGTTACCTGGCTAGAGAACTGCAGAGAAGAGAGAGCAGGGAGCAGAGAGGATGGAGCTCGGACCAGAAGGACCATCATCCATCTGATCCGGGAGGAGGGTCCGGTGACCGGTGACAGTCTGGTAAATCCTCCTCATCCGCAGCCTCCTCCGTCTGTCTGATCACCCAACCAGGGTCCCAGGCCACCTTCCAACACCAGTCCTGACAAAGTTCCGGTCCATTCAGTGATGCAGGCCCTTCCTCTTCAAGAAAATGTATATACTTACATATTTTCAGATCTCTCCTGTATGGTCATGTGATTCCCTATGTCATCCAGCTGTGGTTGCAGGGGAGAGGAGAGAGCACCTGAGAACAGCTGGGAATCCCAGGAGCAGTGACGCTACCCATAGGGTACTATGTCCCAGCCGTTGTGGGAGCACCCTCCTCTGCCCCCTAAGTAACCGCTGGCTGATACAGGGGAGTCAGATCAAACGATCGAACCAGAGCGGACTGAAGATAAGTAAGTATATATATCTTTCTTGCGCAGGTTAGTCAGCATAGGTTTAAGAGGGGAGGGGACATTTTTAGGACTAGTTAGGTGTAAGCTGGAATTCTATTTTTAAAGGGACCAGTCAGGAAAGGTACTGTATATTGAAGTTGTTTTGTCTCCTTTCCTTTTATTGGCATGTACCTATAGGGCCTGACAGGCTTTTAGGGGAACCCCACGCACTTTAAAAAAAAAAAAATAACTGTGGGGTCCCTCCTAACCTTCCTACCAAACCTAAAGGGTCTGGTATGGATAATGGATGGTATGGATTTTTAAAAAAAAATGTCAGTCCTGCTGTAGCAGGTAGTTTAAGAGGCCCACCAGGCATGATACTTAAAGGAATTTTTCTTTTTTTTTTTTTTAACTTTACGGAAGGAAAAAATGACTGCCCCTTTAAAAACAGTACTTTTTGAAAAACAAATTTCACTGATTCATGGCCCTCAGGGCAATGCCTTGGCCCCCATACCCCATTTATGGCCAATAACTTGCATATAAGCCTTCAAAATGGACTCTTTTGAATTTACAAATTCAAGTCCCATAGACTTGCATTAAGTTCGAAGTTCACGGTCAAACATTCGTTAGGTTTGGCCCATCACTATGTATATTAGTATGGTGGGTATAGGAATAGCATGTTTACTTAAATATTACTGGCATTTAATATTTACTAGTACTATAAAATATATCATATAATGATAGTGACTGAATGGAGTTTGCTAGAATAGCTCCTGAGTGCACCCTGTGTAACACTTTAACCATAACAATATAAAAATGTGCATTGACGTGTTTTGGTTACTCCAACAGCGTGATCTCCCTCTCATAATTTCAGACTCTGCTTTTGTCCTCTTGGAAGTTTTAGATTGTCCTGCTCACTTTTGCATGCTCCACCTTCTCCTGTTGCTTTCGCCATCATCTAAAAAAAAATAACATATGCAGGAGGGAGAGTGGGAAAGTTATCTTACCAACACCGTTCCTGTGAGATGTGCTCAGGTAGTTTAAAGCCTAAGTTTAGCTGACATCAAAAGCATAAAAATCAGCACAAGGGACATAAGTGTGATGTGTCCCTTGTGCTGATTCTTCTTCTTTTAGGAGATATTTCCCTTCGTTCTACCCCACCATTTCCTAAAAGAAGAAGAATTGGCACAAAAGACACATTATACTTAGTTATGTCCCTTGTGCAGATTTTTATGTCATTGATGTTAGTAAACCTCAGGCTTTAACTTTTGAGCATTTACTGTAAACTGAAAGATCATGTTTGGGTGGACTGATCCTTTAATATTAGAAGCTGGTGACAAGCCTAATTAGGAATTTGAGCATTACAGAGAAAAGACAGACGACTTGGACAAAGTAGAACACATGCTGCTCTTTAATTAAGATAAAAAAAAGGTTAATTATACAAAAACCCTAAATACCAGTGTGTACACTGTACACAATCAAATGACTTACAAGAATGAAGTTACATATATACACATACAACTGAGGATCTTATTTTTTAGGGCTCTTTAAACAGTCTTGGGCCATGAACGGCATAGCTGCAAAAAGTAAGGAGGGGGAGGGGTGACAACTGTATGCTACAATGCCACTGGTACTAAAGCTTTTGAATTAGTTGCCATGCAAGACACTAAAGAATACTAAGCAGGCAAAAGTAAAACAATTTTATTTGTAAGTAACAATTTCTTCTTGGAGGCACAGAGATCACTCCTCAGCTGCCATCTTGCACAGGTACTCTTTGTCAATTTTAAAGAGGCGCCAGCCTTCTTCAGTGGACAGGTCTGATGCTCCACGTCTCTTATAGAACCTGATCGACGGCTCATTCCATTCGGCCACCAGGAAGTGCATGCTGCTACAACGACACTTCACGGCAATCTAGACAAAAAAAAAATGACATCACGTTAGATTGTATAGACCTAGAAGATAGAGGTTCAACATAACTATACTTTCATTGGTTTCTATACAATTACAGTTCACAAAATAGTAATTTATTTTGCTTTAATTGTACAAGCCTAAAGAAATTTGATTTAATTGACAAAAGGATTTTGTCAAAATAAAGTGCATGGATTTGTTTTAGTTTAGGCTAAGGCAATAGATAAGGCCCCTGTCAGTTTTTTTTTACCTGTGTCCCTTTCCCCCACTCTACCCCCCCCCCCCCCCCCCCCCCCCCCCCCCCCCCCCCCCCCCCCCCCCCCCCAAAAAAAAGAGTTTTTTCTTTACATAGGTTTTAAAATAGGCGTGTCTCTATTTACTTACTATACAGTATACTATCCCAGCTTATGCAAGAGTAAGGAGGTGAAACTGCAATGCCATCAGAACAAAACAGTATTTCCATTTCAGCTCTCCTTGACTGTTCTAAGAAATAGCTATTAGTTTGGTTGAAACACCCTATTTCATGAAAATTTAATTTATTACATTCTGGTTACAATATGGGGTCATTTCAGATACAAAAAGGTTTAGTTGATTTCTTTAGGAATTCAAGAAAACAGTAGAGCCAGTATCTTTATTTTAAGGGCATTTGGGGGCTAGACTAAACTTTCACAATTAGAAGACTATCAGGCTGAGCTCTAGGTTTCTTATATTACAAAATAGGTTTTGGCAATTTATAAAACGTTTTCTAGTGTAAAATGCAAGTACCAATGCAAGAGCAAATTATTCCTTATGTAAACCTGTCACTAAACCGCCATTTTGTGATTTTAATTACACTCACCTGACTCAAGTGCTTGAATATATCTGACCCGATGCCTGATCCTATGAAAAAAATAGAAGTCAATGTAATTTCCTGTTTGGATCTAAAACAAGGTTAGACAATAAAAACAAAGGTTTTAAGATTAATATCTGAAAATACCAAATAAATACCTCTGAGCTCATTCATGACAAAGAAGTCTTCCAGGTACAGAAGCTTGCCTATCCATGGGTCATATGTGAAGTAGTACATAGCAAACCCAACAATGGTGTAACCTGTGAAGAGAGAACACTTTTAGCAGGAATCTTAAATCCAAAAGAAAAAAAAAAAACATTAGCAGTTAATGTATTATATCACCATCATGTAGCATATACACATATATTTGCTGTATAATGCAATCAAGACACCTGGCATCATCTCATTTTAATTCCAAGATATTCAGATACTTTATGTGGTAAAACTACCACCAAGCAGCAGCAAGACAAAAAAAAAATTATGCAAGTTAAGGAGCAATTTCCTTGTACACGGCAGTTCAGAAAAGTTGTCCATACGTTAACTCCTTCAAAATGATCCCATACAAAAATAGACCAAAAACATTCTGTTTTAGTTAATGAGCATTAAATCCCAAACTGCAAAGACGGATTATAAAGGACAAAGGCAAAACCATACAGTTGAGCTAAAAGAAAAATTGTTAAAATTTGAGCCCAAATTCCAGGAAGACAAAGCGTCCACACACCAAGGAAATATATTGTAGAGTTGTATTGGCCATGGCCATCTCTGGATCAGCTTTGGTATAAAACAGTTGGGAACTGGTTGCTCTTGAAAATAGACACAGATGATAAAGGAATGAATCTCTTATGGGTTTCATGGGTTTCTGATCTACCGTGTTTCTTTGTTGGTTATGGTTCAATGGAAGTCCCTGGTGGCCTTACCTCGTTTCATGCTCATCTATGTTATTGTGTAACGGATCTTTTAGTTACCTCCCCGCCCACCCATGTACACGGAAGGGCCATCCATGTACATGGCGAAGCTAGAGACTGTAACCTGAAGATTGGGGACAAATTAAAAAGAAAATGTGATTTAACAAATATTGCATCTGCTTACATACAGGGTCAATACAAGAATTGCCACAAGGCTAGAAATGGAACATTGATTAAAAAGAAACACAAAAGAACTTCTCATTACCATCGGTAGTCTGGTGCTCTTTTGGTACTTCAGCAACAAGACAGTGGTAGAAAGGATGTTCTCCAAAGCCATCTTCTAAAAGATCTTTAGATTAGAAGGAAAGAAATAAAAACACAATTAATATCCCCTTTATTCTGTTCTTTCTTCCAGCCAGGAAGTGTCTATATTACCATAATACTAAACAATAAAATACATAGTAATACAAATAGTACTTTGCTTTCCCATGGTTTGTTCTGCTTTACTAATCTAGGCAATAAGTAGCCAGTCCATAATTAATTTTCTCTCCGACTGTTCCTTTTTATTTATCTAGACAGCAAGTAGTCTGTTCATAATTCATTTTTCCTCAGTCTGTTCTGTTTTATTTATCTATGCAGCACTGCAAAAGCTCATAAGACCAGACTGGCAAGCTGCCCATTCGCTAACGCAAAACAAGTCAGCCATTTTGTTCTAAAAATAGGCAGTTTAGAGTTCAGCAACCATATAAACAGGTGCCTTAATACAATACAGGAAAAAAGGGGAAACATTTTATTAAAAGCAAAAACGACATCAAACTTAGCTACATACCTTTCTCAGTTAACACTACTTGGTTTTCCATTTCTTCATATTTTGCCAGTTCCTAAAAAAAAAAAAAAAAAAAAAAAAAAAAAATGATTTAAAAAGCCGCAGAGCTTAAAGGTTCTTAGATAATGAACAAAACATGCCAAGTCATCATGTACTAATCACCCTCTCCTTCCATACAGCAGATGCATACGTAAGCAATACCAAGTCTAAAGAAAAGTGTAAAGGTCAGTAAAGCTCCATCTAGCAAATAAAGGGTGGCATTGTCCTCAGCCCACGTATGACTTGGCACAGGGTGAAGAGGGGGTGGGTAACATGGCATAGACATTAGGGATCTTTGTACCGTTAGGGAGAGGGAGGAAGAAAGTGATTTCTCCACATTCCTCCGGAAACAAGTGCACTGTTACACAAGGCAGTTGGTATAGACAAGAATATTGAGGCATCTAACGCCTGCATGTGAAAAGTATCGATTGTAAGCTCTCGGGAGCTGGGTCTTCCTAACTTTGCATTGAATTATATTGTAATTGTACTCTCTCCCTTAATATTGTAACTGTTGGTGATATTTAAATCCTGTATAATAATAATAATAATAATAATAATAAATATCCCATCCTATCATTTCTCTGTAAATGCTGTTAATTCCACCCAGCGCCAATGAAGAATATTCACCTTTATGAGTCGCAGAATGTCTTTACAGTCTCCGGGCACAGCTGATCGTATGATATAATTGGCCATTTTCGTTTCTTGCTCTTTTTTCCTTTTCTGACTAGACCTCTGAATGTGAAGAGTAGTAGAAGGTGTTTCTTCATTCGTTTCCCAGGGGCTTCCGCTCCTTAGTCAGTCTGGGACCCTGACCCGGCAGAGACTCCAAAAACACGCCACTGTGCTCAGCCAACTTCGATGACGAAGTGTACACGAGCTGCAATTTTCCCTATTTATAGATGGTTCATTACCCTAACCACACCCCTCCCTGCCTTCTTTAACCAATGGGAGAGGGACATTACATAACTCCTCAACAGAAAGTCTTCTCCCCCTCCTTTGTGACGTCAGAGATTCCTGGAATTTGTGACTCACCATAGCTACGATACAGGCATCAGCACCACCTAGTGTCCACTATACTCAAAAAATGGATCTTGAAACAAAAGTCATTTTTCTTTTAGGCTCCATTCACATAAAGGCATTTTGAATCGTGGGCGGTATCGCCACATTTCCGCATTTCTGTTAAAATGTGAAATCACTCATCAGTGTGTTCAGGTTGCATTCATTTCAATGGCACCTGAAAATGCAGGGCGATTTTGCCGTGATTACAGCGCTATTTTTCACTCGACAATCGCCCTGCGATCACGCAAACAAAATCGCATGATGCATGACGCCTAAAAGAAGTTCCACAACTTCCTCTGGGCGACAGGTGACCTGCGATTTTGGTTGTGCGCTTGTTGCGCACAAAATCACGTGGCACTTGTGGCAAAATCTCCGCGTGTTTTCAAGTGCCATTGAAATGAATGGCACCTGAACATCATGATGAGAGATTTCACATTTTAACATCACGTTTTGAAACCACAGGCAGAATCATGGACATTCTGCCCGCAATTCAAAATGCCTATATGTGCAGTGGTGTATTTAGGTTTTGTGCTGCCCTAGGCAACACAGAAATCAGACGCCCCCCCCCCCTTGGAAGAGGGAGCCTGACACCGACCAGAGCAACGCCCCCTCTTCCCCCGTGGAGGACAACAACACCCCTGCCCTGCCACCCCCACCCAAAAGAGCCTTCCACTAACACCCACCCACCCCTTCCCTCAGCAATAGAGAGGAAGTCACTCACCTTCACAGCTATGGACATCCCCGGGAACGAGAGTCGGACTCTGCATACACCAATAAGCAGCCCACAGCCTCTTTCGGATCCCACTTGCTCCCTGTGCTGCATATGTCCCTTCCTCCTGGGGGGTGCTGCCCCCCTGAAAAATGTTGCCTTAGGCAAATGCCTTGTTTTCCTTGTGGTAAATACACCCCTATATGTGAACAGAGCCTTAAATAGAAAAGTGCTACATTTTGATTTAAAAAAAAGATAATTTACAACTTAAAGTGGAACTGCACTGAATCTCAGCACCACAAATCAAAAATGCTATTTAATTCATTGTTAATATTCAAACTCACCCATCCATCCATGTGTCCATGCTTTATTTTGCTGAGAATTCATTCTGAAAACCATCCCCTGGTATTTCTGGCAGTGGCCATCTTAAGTAAGGGCAGAAAGCTTAGGCATTGGCTGAGCTAAGAACCCTCCCTCCCCTGCTGAAGACTCCTGAGATGTATGACACCATTTGCCTAGGCATGGAAATCAGAAAGTAACTGAAGAAATGTAAAAAACAAGTTAAAAACAAGTAGATATGATATGCTTTCCTATCTATTTACTAATGCTAGCAGCATAAGGATTAAAAATAGTCAAGGACTGACAACTCATGGGGCCCCAGGGCAATAGGGGATCATGGGGCCCCTGTGTCCTTGCCCAAACTCAGAAAAGCCTATGAAAAAGGTACCAGGGGCATCTCATGGGGCCCTCTACTGGCCCCGGGCCCTCGGGCAGTGCCCGAGTTTCCAAATGGTCAGTCCGCCCCTGGTCAAGGTTGATTGAGAAAGTGAAATTCCGCTTTAAGATTTTTAACATTAACAATCTTATATTATAAACCCCTTCATCAGGGAATATATATTGTGCTTTCATAGTTAGTCTGACCATACACTATACAATCTGACCATACAATTTCCTTTAGATCCACCATAAAATATGTACGGCAGAGGCTTGCCTGATTTCATACTTGTTGCATAGATTGTTTCGGTTTGTTGTTACATTACATCGTTTTAGCAATGGTGACAGAGATCATACAGAGATTGTGCAATCAGATTGTATAGTGTATGGCCCGCCTAACTCCAAGCAGAAGACCTATTAATCTATGCAAACCTGATCATTAAAATCAATGGTGTTTCTAATTTCAAAAGCAATATTTTAAATCTGCAGCTTTCATGAAAATAATGCCCGGAGATCCTGCAATGAAAATCCTTGTTTAGGCACTTCCTGTTATAAAGTGACAACGTTCTGTCCTGGTCTCCCAACTGTTCTCCCGTGTTGTCACCCTGTCAGTGATGGAGATTATAATTGGCTATTTGAACACACATTACACAGGCATGGTCAGCAGCAAGAAACCCAGCCTGAGAAATGAGGTACAGCCATTACTGGAGTACATGCACACAGACAGGAAGGTGCTGTGAAGAGGCTGCAGAAGATCAGCAGCAAGGATATAAATAAAAATGTTGGAAACATGTACTTCATGAAAAAATCCTGGCGGTATTTTATGATGTAAAGTGCTTCAGCAAACTAAATGTCATCCATTTAGGGCTCAGTTACATGGAGGCAGAATCTGCATTCAGAGGCTGTGTGCCCGTCCTTGCACGCCTGTCTATGTCAGATGTGTGGGAGAGTGTGTGATCTTCTCTTGCACAATGTACAGGTCTATGAGACCATTTAAATGAACCCTTATTAGTGTCTACTTTCTGCAAAATGCTTTGTGTGAGTGCAGGGGGAGGTATCTATTTCCTTCCATCTCCTAACAGAAAGATGAGTACAGAGATAGATCTCTATAGCAAAGGAGTGTTTTGAGGTCCCAGCATTGTTGCTGCGGCTAAAGCTGCTAGTAACCCAGTGTACATGAACCCGTGCATGACCAAAAATGTACTACTACTGCTTGTGGTCAGCCTTTGAAAAAATGTCAGATAGAGCTATGCCTGGGACTTCAAAGTATTAGGCCAGGTTGACACCTGTGCGTTTTTTAATGCATTTTGCAGGGACGCAGTGCATGCCCTTTATCATGATTTCCTATGGATCATGTTCGCATCTATGCATTTTTTGCAGGCACCTTTTTGGAAACAGTCAGGAACTTCTTTTCCTGCAGCAGTTTGCGTTTTAGTCCAATAGACTTCAACAGGAATTGCATTTAAAATGCAAGTGCTGCATTTTGCATACGTTTTTACGTGTTTTTGAATCTGACCAGAAACAAGTTGGCCAAAATAAATAGATAAATAAAAATGCAAAACACATTAAAAACACGTAAAAGAAAGCATGTGCAAAAACGCAAAACGCACCGCATTAAGCAATGCAGAAACTGATCAAACACAAACTGCATAGGTGTGAACCTACCTTTACTGTATAGATGTATGTAGGCAGATCATTAAGGACCCATTTACTTTCGTGTGGTGCATTAATACAGGTGCATTAACATGCATTGCATTAAAGCAGGCCATACATGGGTCGAATTCCGAACGACTTTTCGATCGAAAACACCGTTCGTACTGTAATCCGATGGTGCCACCAATGATTTCGAAAATCGGTTGTTTTTTTCACAAATTTTCCAGCATGCCCGATAAACGAAATGGGGAGGAACCATGAAAATCAGCCGCTGCCATGGCCCCACTAACAGAGCAAAAATCAGCTGATTATTCTTAGGTCCGATTTTCGAATGAAAAATCGACCCATGTATGGCCAGCCTAAGGCAGCCAACTGATAACATTGGACTTCTGATGCACTAAAAATCACTTTTGCTACACCACAAGACAAATGGTGAGTTGCAGCACATTGCAACACATGTGGGTTGCCTTAGAGCAGTGGTCTCCAAACTGTGGCCCGAGGGCCAGATGCGGCCCTTTGCTTGCTGTTATCCAGCCCTTGGGGCACTATTTCAACCACTGATACCAACAATGGGGCATAATTCCCCCCACTCAGAGCAATGATGGGGCACAATTCCTCCCAATGACACAACAATGAGGCCCAGTGACCCTACTGATGGGGCACAATTCCTCCCACAATTCCTATATTACTTCTAATGTGATGCAAAAACCAAGGCCAGAGATCTCATCCCAGTGCTGGAGAGCATGTGGAAGTAAAGGTACAATCAGGGGCAGACTGACAACTCATGGGGCCCCCGGCAATAGGGGATCATGGAGCCCCTGTGCCCTTGCCCAAACTCAAAAAAGCCTATGAAAAAGGTACCAGGGGCATCTCATGGGGCCCCCTACTGACCCTGGGCCCTCAGGCAGTGCCCGAGTTTCCAAATGGTCAGTCTGCCCCTGGGTACAATGGCACATATCTGATGGGATTGCCCCAAATACAGGAGTTTTGAAGGGAACTAATGCTATATATACAAGAGATCCAGAGAATTAGTGTACAGATGGATCCGTGGGTTTGTCTATTTCATAAATCACAGCTGTCGGCAAAGCAATTTAAAAATACAATATTAAAGAAATAAAAGGTGCAGTGCTAAGAGCTAAAGTGCAAATGACAACAGAACTAATATGTGCAATATGCAAAACTTATATGAATGCACAGGGTGCAATAACAATTAATAATCACACAAACGTCCAGATCGCAATGTATAAATTATATTCATCATATTGGATCCTGTCCGTGGTGACAACGTGCAATCCAGAGGTGAAGATAGTTAAATGAATAGAATGCGCACTCACCAGAAGTGCGTATTAAATACGCATGAAAGAAGTGTCTTTTCTCATCAAACTCCTAGGTCATCAGCATTCTGGTCAGGCCGCACTCTACTTCATCCTCTGCTTCCCCGTAGTAATAGGGCTCCAAGGTTCATCAAGCAATCTCAGGCATCAGGGGTCCCCCTTATTTAAAGCAGGCACTGCGGAAGGTGGTGCTGCTTCCTGTTCTTCTGACAAATTTGAAACTT